TCGAGGGGGGTTGTTTGGTTAAGTTGTCCTCTTTCCGTTTGAGGGGGGGGGGGGGGGGGGGGGGGGTGTGCGGCGAGAGCCGCCAAAACTTGAACTTAAAACTTACACTCACTATTTTCTTCGAAAATATACGTGAGTTCCACAAAATAGAATAAAGTACTTAAATGTAGAAAGATTTTTTGATTTAATATTTAATAGAAAAATACTAAAGTATATAGATAAGATTATTTAATATCATTTATTCATTGATTTATAATATCTTAATATAATTCATCATGTTTTAATCTACTAAAAGTTTATATGTTTTTTCATTTATTACCAGAAAGTTTTGTACATAATCGAGTGATTAAAAAGATTTATGAAATGAATGTTTTTTCTTTGTGAAAGTGATAAAAACTGATTATATATTGTATGTTTTAGAATGATCTACCTAATTTGAAATATTTCTCATTGAAATATGAATCTTTAACTAATGAATATGATAATCAAGTTGTACCTCTTCTTCATCGAATGTATAATCTTCAAGATTTAACATTATATATTCAAATCAAAGAACGAAATAGACTTGTTGATGGTATTCAACTTGAAAATGATATTCTTATTCATTTGTCAAAACTTCAAAGATTCGTTTTTTATATCTGCACTTTTACTAGTGCCAATCATCCTGTTACTCCTTTATCAAATGATGATATTCAACGAACTTTTTCTAATGTAAAATTTGGACAAGTTGGTTGTAGTATGAATTATATCGATGAATCTGATATCAGATATCATGTTTTCTCACTTCCATTTATATTTAATCGTATAGGATATATTGGCAATAGCTTTACGAATACGATATTCAGCAATGTTATTTATTTATGCATATATGATGGGATTCCATTCGAACATGAATTTTTTGTTCGGCTAGCTCGATGTTTTCCATTATTGGAATCTTTGATTATTGTAAATTGTAAAGCACAATCAAGAGATTCACCTGAATCTGAACATGACAATACTAATGGACCATTTGAAGTTGCCCAATATCTTCATCTCACATCACTTCACTTTGCTCGTACACATATTGATTATGTTGAGCAAATGTTAAATGAATCAAAAACACGTTTACCTTGTCTGACAGAATTATGGATTGATTATGATCAATTAAAAACTGTAACAAATAACTTTACAAGAGATGCAACGAGACTTAATTGTATCAATGTGGAACAATTAGATTTTCACCGTCGTATCAATCATGACGACAATAGCGATGATCACTCGATAAAAGCACAATCAAAAGATTTTCATCTTTATTTTCCTTTGTTGAAACTTTAATTTTTTGTAATTACTTAAATATAGCGAAATAAAGATTAAAAAGTCTAGTTTCATTATGATTTTTTAAAAAATCCTATTAAGTCAAGTAATCGAATTTCATATTTCATAGATGAAAAACAAATAAAAACGAAAAATCTAAGGAATCATTGAAAAAAAAACGATAAGAACTTCTGTCGTTAAAGAGGAGAACGTATAATACGTCGTTTTAATATTCATATATTTGTTTGCCCAGTGGATTCGAACTTTTTTCAAGATCAATTCGAATTCGAACAAATTCCAGGCCAGAATTGGAATTGGCCCATTCGTAGTTCTAACTTCAGAGCTAAATCAAATCCTATCGATAATGTCTCTACTAGTTATTCATGAATCTAAAGTATACAAAATTCTTATCATATTTCTGATGCCATTTGAAACTACAGTAATCCTGGATGGATAGGTAATGATAATACTAGAAGTCTGCGGGACAAACTTTTTTTATTGTCTCGTCCCGAAATTTTTGTTTAATAGTCCCGATTCGGAATGTTCCACCCCGAATTTTTTCGAATTGTCCCGTAAAATTCCGTTTGTCCCGTTAACTGACAGGAACATAGAAATATTGTGTTGTGAAAGAAGGATAAATCTTTTCTATACTACCAATAGATAATATAGATTCATATAGATAATTATTAGAGGAACTAGTTATCTTTTGGTTTATATAATTGACAGCACAATACCGATCAAGGAGTGCCTGTCAGCCTAGATGAAATTATTAATATGCTACTTGCCGAATGAAATATTGAAACATTAATCAAAATTTAGTTGATTGCATTCGAAATGTAAGAAAAAAAGAAGTTATTTTACGATATAAATGTAGTTTAAGATGGTCCCCCTCAGAAACGAACTTTGTTATTTTTTATCCGATTTTAACCAAAATTTCAGAGAATGTTAGTCTAGGCTAGGATAGATTATGATTAAAATATCTCTCCCAAATCTCAAAGATATGCACAAGTTCTAGCCAATTCATTGGTCAAAAATACCCTTCACGCGGGCAAGGTTTTCGACATGAGATTACTAGCTAAGCGTGTCGGCGTGGTTTTTAAATTGTAGAGTGTCGTTAGGGCTAGGTCGTAATAGAGTGGGTGTGGGTGTGGGTGTGGGTGAGTGTGGGTGTGGGTGGGTGTGGGTGGGTGTGGGTGGGTGTGGGTGGATGGGTGTGGGTGGATGGGTGTGGGTGGGTGGGGACCCAGACCCCACACCCACACCTCCACGCACACCCCCCCCACAGCCACACCCCACACCCACCCCC